AGAGGGGGGCATAAACTCAGGATTTGTCAGCACAAAGAGGTTGTTTCACAATATAAGGCTAGGTAAGATTACTAGGGAACATGTGCATAGAATAGACCAAGAGCTGAGTCTTGGCAAACTACGTGAAGAGTTGGGGAGATGAGGAACAACCAGGGAGATAAAAAGAACCAAAAATCCAGAAGCATGTATTAAGGACAAGAGAGACATCAACTGCACCAAATGTTGCTGATAAGCAAAGAAAAAGGCTGAGAAGGAATAGCTCACACCTGAAATTGTAGGTATTTGCAAGGCTGAGTCGGGAGGATCATGGTTTGAGACCAGCCTGGGCAAAAAGTTTGAGATCCCATCTCAACCAATGGCTGGGCATAGTGGTGTGCACCTGTCATCCAGCTGCAGGAGAGGCAGAGATCAGGAGGATCAGGTTCCAACCTAGCCTGGGCAAGAGTTTATGAGACCCCATCTCAACAGTAAAAAGCTGGGTATGGTGACATGCACCTGTCCTCTCAGCTATGATGTGAAGCATAAGATAGGAAGACCACAGTCTAGGCCAGTCCAGGCAGAAAGGGACCCCATTTCCAAAATAACCAAAACAAAAAGGACTGGAGGAATGGCTCAAGCAGTACAGCGCCTCTTATCCCTCCTTATTTCTACTTCTACAGCTGAAAAACACTTTTTGGCGCATCCAATGGGCATTTACTAAGTGTGACTCATTTGGATTTAGGGAAGATCTGGCCTTTTTGCCAGGCTGCCACCCGTGTTGGTTACTTAAGTGGTACCATCCTCAGAATGCACTTACTATGTGCTTCCCCTCTCCATTTCTGATTATAGCAGCACGTTATCCGCAGAGACTACATTTCTCAGGGTACAGAAGGCTCCAGTATCATCCCCGCCACACCTTTTTGAAGAATTAAAAGGACAAAGTTTAGGGTGGGGGTAGAGGGAGGTTGGAGAGGATGATCAGTACTCCGGCTGCTTCTAAACGCAGCTGAGGGATAGGTGTCAGGTTGTCTCACTGGGACCTGAAAATTGAAATTTGTCTACCTTCCTCCCTTTTAAGTAGACATACTGAGGTAAAGCAAGAGTTCTTTTTTTCTATAATCGAAATGCAGTCATGAGTTTTTTTGGTGAAAGCATACCTTTTTTCCCCCTTAATTTTCCTTCATGAATGTTACTGGGAAAGTGGGATGGATTAAGTCTGGGTGGTTATGTATGCTACCATATTATGTTACTGCTAAAATAAGCTATGCTTTGAAGTTAAAGCAACAGGTGACACATACTGAATAAGCCAAGGTGCTTGCTTTTCATTTTCTATGAAATGGTTTATTTTACTGCTTACCATGGAGAGGCTACAAACACACATCCAATCTGAACACGAAGGACTGAACTTGGCAACACTGTATAATGTTCTGAGTTGAGAAGATGGAGAAAAGGGCTCAGGACACTAACATTTGCTTATCATCCACTGCACATCTTCAGCATCAAAGGCACTTGCCAAAATGGTTAAGTTAGGGCTTAAAACCAAATTTTTTCTATATTAATTATTATAAGAACACAATTATCTTCAGTAGTGACCCCTCTTACATAGACCATGTCACCTCTCCAGTGAACACTGTGGCAGTCAACTCTCATTGGCATCTTTGTGACTTCCAAGGCACAGACTTGTATTTGTCAGGAATATGCTGGATGTAGGGAAGACCCTGAAACATGGTATGGCCTTGCTTTTAAGCTTGCATTTATCCCCTATAACTGGATTTGTTGTGCTTTCCTTGTTCTAAGTAGCTTCTTTTTCTCTCTCTTTGTGAGACTGGGGTTTGAACTCAGAGTTTCAATGCTTGGTAGGCAGGTGCTTTACTGCTTGAGTCATGCCTCCAGTCTATTTTTGGAGTTTGAGATCAGCCTGAGTAACACAGCAAGACCCCATCTCAGCCAGGCATGGTTGTGTAGGCATGAAATCCCAGCACTTGAAAGGCTAAGGTAGGAGGATTCTGAGTTCAAGGTCTGCCTGGACTACACAACAGTGCAACAGTGAGACCCCATTTCAAAAACCAACTAACTAACCAAACAAGAGAAAGTAAAAAGCCCAAACCCTACACCAGTCTAAGGAGTGGGACCATTTGTCAACAACATGGAAAAAATGACAAATCAGGATGTATAGCACCTTTCAGCTCTTTATGAGCCACAGGTTCTTTACATTGTTTTGTGACAATTTCCTGCACAAACCAAAGCACCACACTGCATTCCCAAAAATATATATTTAGATTGATTCATGCTCTTACTATGCACTCACAGAAAAATGAAATTGACTCCAATCACATTTTCATGTGAAAACAGAATTAGATTAACGCAATAGTCCTTGACTTAACACACTGACTCAATACAATTAAGGACATCTAATGGTATTTGTTCTCAACACGGAAAAACAATTTCTTGCATATTTTCTATTCATAGTGTTTTACACTTGTAAATACAGGCAGCGTGAGCAACAGTGATAACAGGACAAACATGTTTAAGAGTATATTGTTGGCAATTCGAGATTTCAATTCTTTTTATTTTTGTTCCCTTAGTCTGTACATATATAAGTATTTACAAAGTACCCACATGCTACACAGAATTAAAAGATGTTGATTTAAGCTATAAAAATGGCAATGTTATAATTTTCTAGTGCAGAGCATAGAAATGTACAGAAAGACTATAATAACAGGCCAACTACAGGAGAGCTAACACAAGTATTTCTATACATGGCGTGTATTAATTTTTCTCTCTCCATTTTAGATAATGTTCCATTTTCAATACTGAACTTTCCCCTTTAATTAAAAAAAATCTCCCAGTTTATAAAATCTTAGGGACAACTTCCAGTGTGCTTTTCTTAGAACAGAGGAGCCAGAAGACCACATATATCACTGAGTTATGATAATAACCAACTAATCAGAATTATAATCACAAAATTGCTACAAGGCAATAATAGGCTTCTGCAATTAAACATAAATCACAAGGGTATGTTTCACACATAAAAATAGTAACCCAATTTCACTGGGTATCAACTAATATTTGCAAAGCTACTGGAATTTTTTCTGTTGATCTTCATTGTTGTTAAAAAATGATAGTTTGATGGTGGTAAAACTTCAGTTTTTCAAGTGCAGGATGATCTGAGCTGAATGAAAGAAAGAATGATTAAGGGAGGGAATGAAGGAAAGTGTGGAATCAATTTGAACAACTGTATCTCTTCTGTTTTTTACCTTAAGGAGGCTCATGTCTCCAACATTACAATAATGTCATAAATATGTCATCCATTTTAAGAGTCTTAAAATTAATCAAGATGGAAAAAGACAAAATGAACTGTGAGCCAAGCCACTGCTGAAAACATCTAAGAGTCACAAGTCCATCACCAGTATTCTCAGCAGCAATATATTTAAATACAAAACAACTACATATATAAAAGTTATATATTTTTTATTTTTATGATTAAAAATTTAAAAATAACTTTTTTATAATTGTTTTTTTAAAAGTGGCATACTTTGTTAAAAGAAGCACTGGAAAATGTGGAGTTTTTAAAGAAATAATCTTTATCTTCAATTTCTACACCAACTAATGGAAAACTAACCACTTACGAGTCTAGTTTACAATCCAAATAAAAGACATACATGTATTTAGGCTGATTCTGCCCATTCAGTTGAAACGTTTCCATCCCTAAACTATTAGCTACTGAAATTCTAAAAATGCTCCTTTTTTGCAAAAGGATTTATTAGCAGTTCGATGCTATTCACCTGAATGTACAGCTTTGAAAAGATTGGAGGCCACAGGCAACACTCCATAAAATGCAAGACCTTCATCACTTTTCAAATGCTCTAAGCAAACCATACAATTTAGTTAGATCTTTGTAACTTGCAACTCTCTTGAATATCTCTTAAACTGCTTTCTCACTTTAAATTTCTTTCCATTCTACACTGAACATTTTTGCTAATTAGTACTAACTACCATAGAATTCAGCAAAAAAAAAAAAGAAACAATCCAGATTGTTTCATACATTTTGAATTAAAATGACCAAAGAAATAAAATCTGTTATATGAAATCATTATTTTCACCCTTGAAATACTGGTAATTTCTATTAACCCTACTTCCAAATTAAGATGGCCATGTGCACAAGTTTCTCCAAATCTCCAACTTTATTATAACATTTTCTCCTTCCATATTAGTATATATTTTCACTTTAACTTGTTTAAACACAAAAGGGTTGGCACATTTAAAATTAATACATTTTATTATTATAAAAACAAGCTGAGGTTAGTGGTGAACCTAACTTAGTATTTGTTTACTAATACTCCAGACTTGTTTACCTATACTCCAGACTTTTTACTACTCATTACTGCTGGCTATTTTGACACTAGATTGTGCAACATACATCTCCCCGAGGATGATCAGAGAATGCAAAGACAAAGTGCAAAGAAGATGGTTTTGCTAACTTTAGGACTTCCAGTAAAGGGTTAAAGTGAAAACACTAACTTATAAAAATTAAATTCAGGAAAGCGTTACCTGTGGATTTCACTTGCATTAGGACTGGTCCCTCCTTATTGGAGTTTAACTGACAGAAGACTGGACCATGACTAGTAGCTATATACTGGTCATTTTCAAACACTCCAATGATATTCTTCAATAATTTTATGGTCTCCAGTTTTATGATGGCATATTATGCTTTCCACACCGTTTAGATTTCCCATTTCCATAATTCAAATACCAAAATAAATCTACCTAATTCCTCATACACTCAAATTAAGTTTACTGGAATGTTTTCAGTTATAGCTGAAGCAGAAATATTTATAGCATTTAGTTTTTGTTACACACATAAGTATGCGGAAATTGCTTGAAAAGCAACTGTAATAGGAAAAGAATATTCTTGCAGTATTGATGGAATGGTTATGCATCACTTTTAGCATAATGATTTGGTACTCTGCACAGGCTTCCTGATGCCCAGCCTTATCTCCACACTTTGATGCAATAATGCAGGTCCTTATGCCACTAAAATACTAGTATGAAATATTGTTACCAGTGTTTAACTATATACACAAATAAGGAACTGGCAAGTATCTAGCTTCAAATTAGATCCTTGGAATACAGTAAAATAGAGTTATCTTTGCCTTAAACATAATTATTCAAAGTACATTTTTTAGAAGGGAAGAAGATATTTGAACATTCTCAATGCTCCAATTTGAAGTGATACTTGCCTCTTAGTTTGTTGAAAAAGAACTTTTGAAAGTTATACATAGGTTTCATTTAAATTATGCAGCAATCTTTTATTATAATTATTATTGTCCCAGATCTTGTTTAATGAGGATCTCTGTCATCAAATCAAGTACGGTATTTCACAACTATAAGAACTGTAAGAGAAAAAAAGTGAAAAAAAAAAAAGAATAAATCAAAATCAGATTCATATGCTATGTCAGAAGCAATATTCCTAAATGTAGGTTATGTCCATTTTTAGAGGTAATGAGGTTTGTACTTTTATCTGAGATAACAGATAACAAGTAACAAAAGAAAGGCAAAAATTTAGTAAAATAACTCAAATGTCTAATGTTGGCATCTTGATCAAATAAATTATGACATAATGTACCTACTAAAATATTATTAAAAGTATTTAATGGCATGGGAAAATATGCACGATGTATCTATTAGAAAACATATGTTATCATCTTAGTTTTTGAAAAACATGCTTATGTATTAATAGGAAAAGACTAGAAATATAATTATATCAACAGTAGCTATCTCTGTGTGGTAAAACTGAATTTAACTTTCTTCTTTATGCTAGTCTACATTTTCCACTCTTTTTGGGGGGGGTGTGTGTGTGTGTGTGTGTGTGTGTGTGTGTGTGTGTGTGTGTGTGTGTGTGACTGGGGTTTGAATTCAGGGCTTCACGCTTGCAAAGAGGGCACTGTGTGTGTGTGTGACTGGGGTTTGAATTCAGGGCTTCACGCTTGCAAAGAGGGCACTGTGTGTGTGTGTGTGTGTGTGTGTGTGTGTGTGTGTGTGTGTGTGTGTGACTGGGGTTTGAATTCAGGGCTTCACGCTTGCAAAGAGGGCACTGTGTGTGTGTGTGTGTGTGTGTGTGTGTGTGTGTGTGTGTGTGTGTGTGTGTGTGACTGGGGTTTGAATTCAGGGCTTCACGCTTGCAAAGAGGGCACTCTTAACACTTGAGCCACACACCCAATCCTTCTATATAAGATTGGTTCTTGTTATTTGAGAGTTATGTTCTATAAAATCACCGCAAAAACTGAATTACCGAATTTTGAACCACTGCTTCTAGAAAAAAATACAAGGTTAAGTTCCTATGAACTTCTGACTACTATGTTTTTCTCAGCCAGTCAATATGTAACCTAGTTTTATGTGTGTGTTTAAAGACATCTTATTTAGTATGTATTGTTCATTCAATAATATTGAACTTAAGGCCAACAGCACTGTAACTCAAGCCTGAGAAAGGTACCCAACATGTATATTTCCTTCTAAGGCCCATTATAGCCATCTTTCACTTAGTCACACATAAGAGCACTTCAGGACTATGGTGGGGATCCATTTTAAACCACAAGATCAACAAAAGGACAGAAATGTAGAAAATATGGCACTACATAGACTAAAAAGGGACACCTGTTTATGTAATGAGAGCTGAAACAAGAAGTCAGATTGTTTGTCTGACCTTAACTGGAAACCTGTATGTCAGGAAAGTCAAAACTGTGCTGTACACATCTGCAAATGACTATAAAAGATACACAGGTAATGATTTGGGAGTTACAAATAAGTTTTTCTACAAGTAAATAAATTCAGAGTCCACAAATAATGATACTTGATATTTCTTTGCAAGAAATTTTTTGTTTGAAAAAAAGAATAGCCTCATAAAAATCTTCAAATGACTGATACATTTTCCAGATCTTCATCAAATCTCTATAAACATAGGTAAAGAGGCCTTGAGAAAAGTAGGTACTTAAAATTATTTGACCTTAAAAAATATTAAAGGAAAAAGGAGAAGGGGTTTTTTCTTTAATGACTGAAGTCAAGTTCAAATCTAAAACATACAGAAATCATATAGAGAATTTAACTGGATTTGTCCTTCTAATACAGTGTTATCAGATGCAGACTGCCATTCCTGCAAGATAGTAGTAAGCAGAAAACGAACACTTTGGTCCTAAGTGTAACAGGAACCAGATTTGGCCTTGAACAAATAATTTAGCCCTGCATTTGGGTGTGGTAAGGAGAGCAGTTCCCTTTGAGAATCTCACAAATACATAGTTTATCTCTCCCCACAGAAATGTACATATTCATGTTCACATAAAATTCAACAAACATTTTAACAGCAATTTATAGAAATCCATACACTGTAGGTTAAGGGCTCTTGGTTCAGGTCAGAAGTTATTATTCAATCTTGACTTAGTTATACTAGGTTAACTGAAATTAAAATGAACTCCAAAACAAACAATATACCCAAGAAATAATAATAGAAGAAATACTTACTGATAATCACTAGCAAAAGGATAACAGCAACCAAAGCCATGATGGCTTTTATCTATAACACACAAAAAGCATATGAAAGATATTGTTTGACTTATTAATAAAGCCAGGACTACCTGTTTTGCTATTTACCACATTATATTAACTTGTCAATAAAGAGGTGCATTCATTAAAATGTTTCTCTCATGAACTTGCTGGCTATTGTGTATCCTTTTGTAATAACAAGAGCTCCCCCTAAATTTGAAGATTTCTGTACAATAAACAGCAACAATCTAAGACTTCATGAGCCTGGCCCTTTCTGTCTATGATTTCATATGCTTATTTCTAATGTGAGACCATGAAAGTTTGGTTTCTCTTGAAAAAGTCAGGACAAATATAAATATTTCTAGACTATAACTGACCATGGGTTAACTGAAAATGTGGAAAACAAAACTGTGGATAAGGGGAGAATTACTGTATATGTGGCAACATATTTTATAATACTGTCTTTATGGCGTTGTAACCTCCATTTCAAGGAATAAATAAATAAATATATATATATACACACACATATATATAATTTTGTTGTTGTTTTGAGACAGGCTCTACTATATAGACCACACTGGCCTAGAACTCATGATCCTCCTGCCTCAGCATCCCAAGTGCCAGGATTACACTTTGTGTCACTATGCCTGACTTAATCAATAACTTGTGTCAGTTTCACAACCAATAAAAGAGAAGAAATCGTAAGATCAGTTTTCAGTCAGCTGCTTTTTTCTTTTTAAGCAGTACTGAGGTTTGGACTTCTTTGTGCTTACTAGGCAGGTAGTTTAACAATTGAGCCATGTTGCCAGCCCAGCTGCTTGAAATTTTAAGCTTATGCTATCTTTCTATATAAATTTTCACATTCATCATTTAATCCTAAAATGCGTAAGTTATAAATTTCTTTAATTTTCTCGAATTAAAAACCTTGTTTTCATCACTTTCACAGACAATTAATAATGGCCCATTCAGAAAAAAAATACCTAGTTACTATAAACAGATGAAACTTTCCAGTGACTATCACAAATAGAAATAGATATAATGAAATGTTTCTAAAAAATAGAATGACTAGTGATACTTTTGTGGTATTGTATTCATGACAGTAACAAAATGACGAAGAGAATCTATCAATGCTTTGTGATTTAGATATGCCTATTATAATAACAAAAAAAAAATGAAGAAACAGACTCAGAACATACGGTGATAGGAGATATATCTTCAGTACATATCTGGGCCCACACTATAATATAAAGTACTTTAGTTATTTACTTAATCTGAAAACATTTCTAAAATAATATGGAATTTCATAGTAGTTTTTCCACTTTGCCCAAAATATGTTAATTTGCCCTGTTCATATTAAGCTAGACTTACTTTAGAAAACTTAAATGGAAATATCAATATAAATTTTAAAACACCTCAATAGTTTTCTTCCTATGGTTTCTAATACTGGGCAGGAAGTATCTCCAGTTCTAAATAGGACTGTTGTATTCATCCATGTCCAAAGCTCCCTTTTTTCTAAATGACATGGACAAAAACTCTATCATTAAACATGTAAGAGCATCAGAGCCTTCTAAATACCTTCCCAACCACTGAAAATTTTTATTCAATTTATTTATTTTTAAAGGCAGGTTTCAGCTGAGTGCTGGTGGCTCACACCTACAATTCTAGCCTTGAGAGGCTGAGATAATGAGGATGGTGGTTCAAGGTCAGCCCAGGAAAACAATTCATGAGACCCCCATCTCCAAAATCACCTGAGCAAAAGGGACTGGAGTGCTGACTTCAAACCCCAGTACTCCAAAAAAGGTAGGTTTATTGAGATATATTTTACAGATGATAAAATTTATCCTCTAAAAGTGTATTTTGAAAGATTTTGGCTAATATACATAGCTGTTTACCACCATCACAAACAAATATAGGAAAACTGATCCAAAAAGTTCTCTCATGTCCAGTTGTGATCAATCTTTATGTCCCTGCCCCTCTTTAGTCACTGGCAACCCCTATTTGCCTTCTGTTCCTATACCCTTTTTCATAAAACCTTTCCTAAATCATCACTGTAAAATGCAATCCAGAAAATGGGAGGCATTGGAAAGCCACCCCAGGTGAGTATCAGGTAATGGGGTGCAGTGAGATGGAAGAAAGATAAGCATTAGAAAATAATGGAAAATACTTGCTACTCTAAATTATCTTTGTTAAGTTCCAGTTCATTACATGGTTGATGCTATTAGTTGTTCCCAAAGGTGATTTAGAGACTGTTTTAAAAAATAATTCTATTTTTAAAAATCTCACTGATGTGAGCGTCCATAAAGTACAAAACAAACCTTTAGATAGGGAGGTTGGCAAAATGCCTGTTTGACTACATGAATGCATACACTGTAGTGTGTGCAGGGAAGAATAGGTGAATCTTCTGCTTTTCCAAACTACAGATTAGAAAATAACTACAGAAACAAAAATATTAAACAGAAAATTTATTCTCTAAATAAAGATTTAAAATAGAAAATTTAAATTCTACACAAGAGGAGGAATGAAATGTATTTCTTTTCCTCACCTCTATTTCTGGAAGTAAGAATATTTTACAGGTAGGACAGACAAAACTAAGTAAATACAAGGTAACTCTTGGAAGAAATTTGATTTAGAAAATTATTACTGAACTTGAAAATGAGATTAAAAACAATGAGCCCATGCCTAAGATTTTCAAAAAAGCCAAAAATTATACATAGAATCAAAGGAAAAAACAAAAACTTGCTCACTTGACATAAATTTCCTATAAAATCTTTTAAGTGATGTTTAATGATTAGTACTCATGCTTAACTTAAGAGGTAAATTCATTTCTATAAAATGTTCTACAGGAATAGAGTGATTCCATTTTTCCCTCTTAAATATTTTATTTATTCCTTAGTTCTCTGGAATGAGGGATAATGTCCCCCCACCTCCAATCTTCTTGCCAGGACAGATTCTGACATACTAACTGCTTCTATTTTTTTATCCCTCTCATCAAAAAATCATTTCTTCTCTAGTTCTCATTTTTATTTAAAAAATAGCTCTATATAATGCTATAGATTATTCCCTAAAGGTACTAATCATAAATCACAATAAAATGTTGGCTAAATTATTGATAAAATGTGGATTATTTCCATGAAAAAATCTATGAAAACATCATTTTAGGCATTGCTTGATTCCTTTAGTTACTCCTGCCCCAAAAGTAATTAATGATTTCAGCGTATATTCACTGAGTTCCTACCATGGCTGAGGCTCAAAAGAATAACAATAAGCAGGACAGTTACAGCTCTGTGCTCAAAGCTTATCTTCTAGAGGCCCTTTCCTGTCATGTATGAACACAATTTACCTAATATCTTCTGATTTACTTACTTTGCATCCACGCCACCACATTTGCCTTCGAAGTTGTTTGGATCTGTTGCTAAAAGCAGTTGCATTATCCGATAAGCTTTCTATATCACACAGAGGATGGAGAGAAGGATTAAACGACATAACAGGATTCTTTTATCTAGTCACACAAAGACAAGAAAATATTAATTTCTACTTCTGTAAATTTGTTCCCTTTTAAGCATGAAAACATCCTTCCTTTACTCCACCCACAAATTCTGTTATTCAAGCAAAACAGTTTCAAGTCAGTTTGCTTAATCAATTTTTACTATAAGATTAAGTGAGCCCTTTCTAGGGCTTTAATGTTAATAAAGAAAGTTATGGATTCTGGTTAAAAGAAAAAAACCCTCTTTAAAAATATAAATACTAGGGGCTGGGAGCAGAGTTCTGTGGCAGAGTGTCTGCTTTGTATTCAGTCAACCCTGGGTTTAACCCTCAGTATCAAAAACCAAAAAAAGAAAAAAAAAAAGCTTGACACATCTCTAGAAACAAATAACACATGGAAAAAATTAAATTCTTTGAAACCAAAGTTACTAATTCCGAAGGAAAACTGAATTTTAAAGGTGATTAAGTGAGTTTTTTGGTGAAGCAAGTCTGTCAAGAATTAATTATTCCGTCATTCACTATTCAAACAATACGAGTGACTAACGTGTGCCAGAAACTAGAAAGCATAAATCATTAGGTATTCATCATTCAAACAATAATTGAGTGCTAATATGTCACAGGTATAGAGACTAACATCTATCAGTAAAGGTTATCAAGTTACCAGAGAAGGTATAAAATAAAAAAAGTTTGAAACAAGTGTTGAAAAAAAGGGATTAGACTGCTATGCCTTGACATGAGAAACACAAAACCTATCAATATAATAGGGCAAAAGAATAAAACAGCTCTACTCTTAACTCTTCAACAATGAATTTTTAACTTTTCTATTCTCAAGTGAACAGTAAAATATAATAATGTGGTTAAGATAATTTAAAGTGAGCTAAAATTAAACCATGAAAATCATAACTTTAAGAATCAAATGCTAATTTACTAAGCAAGAGTCTTAAACAATGATAAGTGGAAAAAAACAAATTAGCTAAACAGATTTAGAGATACATGAAGTATTGGTACCTGATTTGTCCTGTAGTTCATCTAGTCTCTCCCCTCTTTCAATTACCTTTGTAATATTTTCTTGCATGACATCAATAACTTCATCCACCTGATTCTGAACACTATTTTTAAAAAGATAAATAATTATTAAGAATGTTCATAATTTTTGAAACTTTTGTTATACATAAGAATAGTAAATTCTCAGAGAATTATACTTTGTTGCAAAACTACAACACTTAAGTAGGTAATGTTCCTTCATTTGCAGGCTTGAGTACTCAGGTAATTAAAGACATGATATGAATTAAAGTAATATTTAACTGCCCGGGCTGGCTCTGAACTGCCATCCTCCTGATCTCTGTCTCCCAAGTAGATGAGACTATAGACATAAGCCACCATGTCTGGCCCAGTTTTCTCTTAAATATAAAGAGGAATTAAGACAACTAGTAACACCAGGGTATGTTTTGAAGTATCTACCAAGAAGCACAAATGAAAATTTTTTTTGCAATCCTCTAAAATGAAAATGTTTTCCTCCATTATTTTTAGGTGATGGGGTAGCTCTAACCAAATTTCAAACTGTTTAATGAAACTTAACCAAACTTAAAAATTAATAATTTATCCTCAACAATCTCAATAATTGGTAACTCAGGAATTACCACCAGAGTATACAAACACACAAATGCTTAATTATCTAGTTTTCCTCTGATGATCTAACCACAGGACAAAAAACTATTTTAGATTACTTTATGAAATAAGCCCTGACAATGAAATATTTGAAAGAAATTATATAAAGTGAACTTATGGCTCTTCTAATTCAAAAAAATCTTTAAAAGTACATTGGATTATTAGCAACTAAAGAAATATTAAATATATATGCATATGTAAATAAATAAGGATATGCCATTGTGTCATAGTTATCACCAGGGAGCTTTAAAAAAAAAATCACAGGACGGGGCAGGGAGCAGGGGGGAGAAATGGCCCAAACAATGTATGCACATGTGAATAAATGAATAAAGAAAAAAATTTATAGAAAAAATAAAAAATCACAATATACGTCTCTGCCCTCTATTTCACACTATCCCCTCCAAACTAGCCCAGAGTTGGGAGTCAGGTGTGATCGTATCTAAACTGCAATCCTCCCTATGTCAGCCTTCCAAGTAGGATTACAGGTGTGAGCCACCAGCAACCATCTTGTAAGACTTCTATCCTTTACCTGAGCTGTTTCTTTGAAAATTTTACTTCAAAAACAAAATGATGGCCCATTTAGACATTGGTGGATTCAGAAGTAGTACCTTCACATTCATGTAGCAATTACTACACTTGCTGATAATCACCTCCCTGCCATGTTAAAAGCAGTATGTACACCCAATGATTATCCACACATAACCTTCAGATGCGTCACAGCTTCCTAGAGTTCTGTACTTCCCACACATTTTTCCATGGAACGATATAAAACTGACACTCAACCAAGCAAGGATATGCAGAATTCTCTTTCGTTCAAACATCTGAAATAGCCTCTGAATCTCTAAGATGTCTTGTTGCATCTCTTAATTATCTAAGCAGAGAGCCTAAGATGTTTGTCCTCTATAACAACAATGGCAAAAACACTTAGGTAACATATAACAAGCACCTACAATGTATTGTTTTAAGTACTAGGAACACTTAGGTAACATATAACAAGCACCTACAATGTATTGTTTTAAGTACTAGGAAAACAAAGAATAAAACAGTTCCAGTCCTCATGGAACTTATGTTCAAATGTACAATGAAGGCATTGCATTAACCTTGGAGCTGCTCAATTACAGTGTTTTATTTACAGCATTTGACACTAGATAAAACTGTCTACTTACTAATTTACATGCTTTTTCTTTTTCTTTTTTAAACTAGAGTTTGAACTCAGAGCACCATTTGAACCACTCAACCAGCCTTACATGTTTATTTTCTGCCTCTTCCCACTAGAAAGTAAGCTCAATGAATACAGGAACGTTGCCTATTTTGTCTATTTTTTTTTTTTTTGGTAGTGGTGCTGGGGCTTTGAACTCAGGACCTCACGCTTGCTAGGCAGGCAGGTGCTCTAGAGCTACTCTACAGCCTTTGTGTTGGGTATTTTGGAGATAGAGTCTTGTGAATTATTTGCCCGGGCTAGCTTCAAACCATGATTCTCCTGATCTCTGTCTCTCCTGAGTAGCTAGGATTACAGGGGTGAGCCCCAGTATGATGTTTGGGGCAAAGTAGGTATACAGTTAATGGAAGCAAATCTATGTTCTTCAAGGACCAATCTTGAAACTTCTAGGTAGTACTTTTTAATATTATACAACTGATAATTATTACCTGTATGGTAGGACAGGAATGGACAAAATGTACAATAGCTCCTATACATAATCAGATTATAATTATCATGGGTATTAATATACCTATACTACATATGAGTTTTAAAATAAAACAAAAAATCCCCAAAAAACAAAGAAACAGTTTTTGTCTCAGAATATAAGCAAAAAACAAAGAAACAGTTTTTGTCTCAGAATATAAGCAAAAGATTCCATAGATAAAAGCAGGCCAATTAGAACAGAACCCACAAAATTCTGGATTCTTTTTTAAATTTACTTTTTTTTTAGCATATATTAACCAAACAATGTAATAGGTTTCATTGTAACATTTCTATAAAAACATATAATGTACTCAAAGCATATTCACCACCTTTATTACTCTTTTATCCTCCTCCTCCTGCTTTCACATCCCCAAATAGTCCCTTTTTTACTTTCCTGTCTCTCTCTCCCCGATTCCACATATGAAAGAAAACATGAAATACTGTAAAACTGGCTCATTTCACTTAACATGATTATCTCCAGTTCCATCCATTTTCCTGCAAATGATGTAATTCAGGTTTTCTTTGTGGCTGAATAAAACTCTATTGTGTATGTATACTACATTCCCTTTATCTATTCATTCACTGATGAGCACTGAGGCTGATTCTCTATCTTGGCTATTGTGGACAGTGCCATGCTAGACATGGGTATGTAGGTTATCTCTACAGTGAGCTGATTTTGATTCTTTGGGGTATATACCCAGAAGTGAATCATATAGAAATTCTATTTTTTTTTTTTTTGAGGAACCTCCACACTGATTTCCATAATGGCTGGACTACAATCTACATTCCCACCAGCAGTGAGAGTTCCTTTTTCTCTGCAGCCTTGAAAATATTTATTATTTTTGTTTTCTTGATAATAGAATTCTGACATTCTGACTGGGGTGAAATGGAATTTCAGTGTAGTTTTGATTTACATTTCCCTGATGGCTACAGATGTTGAACATTTTTTTCATGTATTTATTGTCCATTGGTACTTCTTTTGAGAAGTGTCTGTTTCAGTTCATTTGTCCTTCCTTCACTGACTGCAGTATTTACTCTCCTGTTTAATTTTTTGAGTTCTTTATATATATTCTGGATGTACACCCCTGTCAGATAAGTAATTGGCAGTTTCTCCCATTTTGTAGGCTACCTCTTCATGTAACTGATTGTTTCCTTTGATGTGCGCAAGCTTTGTGATGTAATCCTATTTCTCGATTCTTGGTATTATTTCCTGAGCTATTGGAGTCCTATTCAGAAAGTCACTAACTATCCCTGATCTTGAAGTGTTTCCACTATGCCTTCCTCTAGTACTTTCAAAGTTTCAGATCTTATATTAAGGGCTTTGGTTTATTTTAATTTTTGTAATGGTGGGAGACAGGTATCTAGGTTCAGTCTTCTATATGTGCATATCCAGGTTTTCCAGCACTACTTCTTAAAGAGGCTGTCTTTTCTTCAATGTGTGGTTTTTGGCACCTTTGTTAAGACTCACATAGCTGTAGCTGCATGGGTTTATTTCTGGGTCTTCTATTCCATTGGTGGACATGTCTGGTTTTGTGCCATGCTGTTTTTGATAATATGGTTCTGTAGTACAGTTTGGCATTGAGTATTACATCTAGCATTGTTCTTTTTACTCAGGATTGCTCTAATTATTTGGGATCTTTCATGTCTCCGTATTTTTTTTTCTATTTCTGAGAAGAATGTCATTGGAATTTTGATAGGGATTACATTTAATCTGTAGATTACTTTCAGTAATATTGCCATTTTAACAATATTAATCCCACCAATCCATGAACATGGGCGGTCTTTCCATTTTCTACTGTCTTCTACAACTTTTCTTCAGTGCTTTAAATAGTTTTCACCGTAACAGTCTTTAACATCTTTAGTTAAGTTTATGCCTATGTGTTTGTGTGTGTGTATGAGGTGACTGTCAATGGGATTTTTTCTTACTTCTTTTTCAGCAAGTTTGTTGGTATTTTATACAAGCTACTGAAATTTGTGTATTGATTTTATATTCTGCTAGTTTGCTGAAAGTGTTGATCAGAACTAAGACTCTTCTGGCAGTTTTTAAAGTATATAATCGTATCACATGATCATTTCAATAGAAGCAGAAAAAGTCTTTGACAAATTCAACATCACTTCATGATAAAAGCCCTGAAGAAACTAGGAACAGAAGGACAATAGCTCAACATAATAAAGGCTATATAAATTAATTCTTACTAAATTATCCTCAACTTAGGGGTATTACCTCAGTAACATGGCATACATGTACTAAATCCACATTGCTAATGGGAACCATTCAACACTTAAAATTCTTTACTATATGATCAACAAATTGTTTTTTTTCACAGATTACTATTCACCAACATAACACTCTTAATCCAGTCACTGTGTAAGCCTTACTCATTGATGCAAAAACTCATGATTGTGTTTCCATACCTAGAACACAACTTTTGTAGAAGAAAATTTTAATATAAAGAACAATTTTTAACAAAACAAATGATAATGATAATATACTTTCTCATGTTCTTTTACATTTTCATGCAGTTGCCATCCTTTGATTTCTATTTGTATTTTGTATGTCCAATCCCCATTATTCCCTATAAAACCAGGTATTTTCTATTAAAAATGACAAGAAGTTATGCTTTTCATTAAGAATACCAATGCGAAGGTTATAAATCTGCTATTTAGAAAGATAATAATCTAATGGATAAAACTGATATCTATGATCATACCAGTACGTGTTAAGTGTTTTAATGGAAAGAAGCCTATGGTATCAGTTATGTAGCCTAGAAGAATTCAGCCTAGATCAGAGATGGTATCAAGATTCTGCATCTTGAGAGGTTAAGAATTGGGCAGAATAAAGGAGGCAGAAGACAATGGGAAAGTTCTAGGCTAAAGGAATATAAGTGGAGGGTGAGGGGATAGTTCAAGAACTAAGTGATTAACTGAATGTGTGTGTAGGCAGTGGGGACAGAAAATATAATATTACATAAGTAGGTTTATAATCTGAGTAGGTAAATGGTAGTAGAAAAATAATGGCCATTAAGAACTCAAGAGAAAAGCAAATTTGTGAAGGGGGATGGAGATTTACATCATGGATTTAAGGTCATACAACAGAAGAAAGGATACAGACATACAGCGAGGAAAAAGCATTTTCAATATTGTTTTAAATCCTTTTAAGAATCCAACAGTACTTGTGTTCTTGAAATGTCTCAATTCAAATCATCATCAGGGAAACTGCATGGTATCATGTAGAGATCTTGAGTTTTATGTTCAGACAAAGCTAGCTTTGCAATCCAGCTTATAATTCATTATATATGTGATTATGGAAGTCACTTTGCAAGTCTTTTTAAGCCTTGGATTTTCTTACTGTTAAAATGAAGATGGTAATTTCTGTCACTTGTAAGAAATAAACGTGATAGTTTTCCAAACACTTAGCACAGTGCCTAATGATTAGCATGTGCTTGATAATGTCAGTGCACTTATTAAGAAAAAAAAATCATGGTTCTGCAAAACACATTTATCCTGTATTTTATAAAGAAATATTTATTTTCATCGTTAACACTCCCATCTTGTGGACTTCAAAGGTATTGCTGACAAAAGAAATTTCAAAGTTATGTTGTATTTTTGCAACTACATATATACATATGCACGTATGTATATATGTATATATATATGTATATATATATGTGTGTGTGAATATATATATATGTATATGTGTGTGTGTGTGTGTGTGTATATATATATATTGCTGTTATATCAGGGAATACTCCATGGGAGTTTTATAAAAGCTAAGCTGGTTGTACCAAAGTTATAGTTGAGAGATTCCCTATCCATGACAGAGTATATCTATGACTCACAAGAATAGCATTTCAAATACTATTATTTAATTTAAAAGTAAACATCCCAAAGAATGTTCCAAAGTTTTATATAAGCATGTGAATATTTAAAATCTTTTCCCCAAAATATTGTGTAAAAGTGATGTTGGGTATTTTTTGTGGTATTAATTTATTATCAGCACTGATAATTAGTGGCCAAATTCAAATAAAGCAACAATGTTGCTTATGTATACAGTTAAGGAATACACTACTAAAATGTCATAAATCCAGTGGAGATAACATATCTTGATTAAAGAGAATGATCAATTTGGGCACTAAACTAATGTCAGGGAGTTTTCCTTGGGCAAGGGGCACAATGATAACTCATGTGCTGGTTCAATTAGCATTCATGAGGTTGGACCATCAAGGCTTATGACTGACTTCTAACTTAAATCTGGCCAGCCTATAGCTCTAGAGTAAGTATAAGCTTGTTCAACAATTCCTTACAATTCTAAAATTCTGCAACTGCCAAAGTTATTGTAGTAATTTAAATATATACATGTACATGTTTATTTGTGTGTATTTGGCAGTTACTAACACAGATGAATATACATATTCTAAAATGATTATTCTGTATAACTGGCAGTAGTTTTAGGGTTCAGCTGGAAAATTAAAAGACCCAAGAGGCCATACTCTGCAAAAAGATACCAGACAAGAAACAAAACATATTGGTAGGCCAAAAAAAAAAAAAAAAAAGGTGTGTCTTCAGTAGATTCCTCTATTATACTTAAAGCAATAGCCTTAAGTATAAGAGACTATGTGGGTGGATACAGAAGCCACTCTGGCTCAGTGTAGGGGAATGGCTCAGCTATTACTTACTGGCACCCTTGTAGGCATGCACTTATGCCATGTAAGCTTGAGTCATAGCTAATCTACGTCTCAATTTCCTGGAACTTTGAGAGAATGAGTGACTAGTAAGACTATTTCCTACTCATTTCCATGTCTCCCTTAGGACACTGCATAAGACAATTTTCTTACCACCTCCTGGTACACCTCCTGCAGGCTGTCTTTGCATAGTATGAAAATCACTTAGCTGCAGTCTAGAAATAGCTCCTTGGCAATACAGATTCTACAACTGGTATTGCAGTTACTGGTCCCTTTTGTTTTGGTATTACTATTTTTGGTGTAAGACAAAGGCCCTGGGAGTTGGCACCTTTGGCTACTCTTCCTTTTTCTATGTAAATAATAAAACTTTCTGAATCTAAAAGCAGCTTGTGTCTTTATTGTTAAGTCAGAGACTTGAAGAGTAGACATTCTCTCTTCTGCTGGCCTAGAAGAAGCAATCACCAGTTTTATAGCTGCAAGGAAATGATTTCTGTCAGTAACTGCCTGAGCTTGGTCATGACTCTCAAGTAACACTGCATATCTGGTTATAACTTGACTGCAGGCATATGGGATGCTAAGCAGGGGACCCACTTAAGCAGTGCTAGAACTCTAAACCATGGAAACTGAGATGATAAACATGTGTTGTTTTAAGTTGCCAAGTTCATGGTTATTTGTTACATAGCAATAGAAAATTAATACCTCTCATTTAGAATGCTAATCAATTTGTTGGTGTTGAGTATTCCAAATCTGAAAATCTGAAATGCTCGAAAATCTGAAACTTTTTAGTGTGGATATAATACCAGAAGCAGAAAACTCTACACCTGACCTCCTGTGATGAGTTTCATTTAAAATGCAGGCATACTAAAAATACTGTAGAAATTACCTTCAGGTTATATAAGAAACATGAATTAATGCTGTGTTTAGACTAGGGTCTCATCCCTAAATAATGTATTAAGTATATGCAAATATTCCAAAATAAAAAAAAATTCCAAATGCAAAAACACTTCTGATCTCAAGCACTTCAGATAAGGGATACTCGGCTTGTATTTTGTTCCATGTCTTCCAATTCATTAAGTTAGTGTTAAATATAGATATACTATCAGCAACTTGACTATAGTCTATTATTCACTAAAAACTAGATACTCATTACAGTGCCTTCCCAACTATGCCCAGGGTTAGATCAGTGGCCGTTGTCCTTCCTTAGATCCAGAATGTGGGCCATTCAGTTTATCTTCCATAGTTTTTATAGGTTGCTCAGTTTCCAGGGGCTTTCCTGAAGTAGTCCACTGCTCTGTCCATTCCTTCTCCTTTTCTGTCAGAACCCGTATCTTTCCAATATCAGATACATTCAATACAGCATATTTTATTCATCATCTACCACCAAATGATATATACAGCAAAAGTTTCAAACTAAAAATTAAATAGTAAGTTTCTACAACCTAGTAGTTACATTCAGTCATTATGAGGGGTCAACAATTTCTGTGGTATTTCCTTCCTCCTTCCTCTCCCTTTCTCTTTCTTCCTTTTACTTATTTATTTTTAGACATTGTTTCACCGTGTAGCCAAAACTGTCCCAAACTTGTTATCCTCCTGCCTTAGCCTCCCGAGTGCTGGGATTACAGGCATGTACCACAACGTCTGGCTATCAATATTTTTTTTTCTGTACAAGAACAGACAGCAGATATTTTAGCTTTTGTGGGCCATAAGATCTGTCACAACATCTGTCACAACATCTGTCACAAATACTCAACTCTGACAGTGGAGCTCAAAAAGAGCTACAGATAACAAATGAGCAGGGCTGTGTTCCAACAAAACTTTGTTTACAAAAACAGGCTGTGACCAAATTTTGCTATTAGGCTATAGTTGCCCATGATCCATACAGAAATATGACACTCAGTTAAACAAATAAGTGTCTTAAGAACTTACTGTTTAATTTTATCATTTCTAGGTCCAAATCTTGGTCCAGATGGTCCCCTTCTGAAAATAAAACACCCATTATAAATTAGTAATGATAGCACCAAACAAAAACAGAAAACATCCATGCAACATATATATACATATATGCACGTACATATATACGTGTATATATATGTGTATATACATACATATATATATATATATATACACATGCAATCAAGCTGAATTCTAAACATGGATCAGTCATTAATCATAAGGAACCATATTTTACTTTGTGGTGGAACTGAGTAATATACAGTTGTGTCTTTTACTTCACTGGCTACCACTGACATTCTGAATGTTAAAACTTTCTGAGGAATTAGCGCTTATATAATCCTTAGTGATACACAATTTTTTTCTAATCATTAAACTCTGAAGTACCAAACAACTAAACTACCAGTGAATATGAATACCTTTGTGATCAACTATAGAACTAAAAGTTTTAATTCACCTTGAATTTAGGTTGTGATGAAATGCTGACTGAAAAATGAATAGAGAGAAAAAATTCATGCAAAACACTAAATTTTGTTTGTTTGTTTCTGGTCCGTTCCCCCCCACACCAACCCGGAATTAAACCCAGAGACATGAGCTTGCTAGGCAAGGGGTCTATTACTTGAGCCATGCCCTGCCTCCCCGCTCTTTTGTTTGTTTGTTTTGGGGATAGCATATTGCTACCTTTGACTGGGCTATTCTCTAATTTGAACTCACAGTTCCCCTGCCTCCTGAATAGTTGGGATGATAGCGATGTATTACCATGCCCAGCAAAACACTAAAAAAATTTAAGTAACCATTTTGATTATTCATCTTAAACTTAGCAACTATTAAAGGAAAAATGCAGGAGTCTAAGAAAACATGTATCAAAGTTTTTTCTTTGAATGGCACTAGGGTTGAACTCAGGGCTTCATGCTTGCAAAGCAGGCGCTTGGTATACTACTTGAGACACATTTTGCTCCGGTTATTTTGGAGAGGAGGTCTCTTGAACTATTTGCCTGGGCTGGCCTCAACCACGATCCTCCTGATCTTAGCCTTCCAAGTAGGTGGATTATAGGCAAGAGCCACTGATGCCTGACAAGTATATACACTAATCCATTTTCATATTCTTGAAATGAAATTTTTTGAAGACAAAGAATACAGTTTAAACCACAAAACTCAAAGAAACTAGGTTCTTAAATTTCTAGACATATGGCAATTTCTAAAAGAAGTGGAAAAAATACAATGATAAAAACATTTTTGTAGAAAACAACCAAACTGCCTTTATTTTTGTGATACTGGGGCTTGAACTCAGGGCCTCATTCTTGCTAGGCAAATGCTCTACTGCTTGAGCCACCCCTCCTTCCCCCAAACTGCCTATTAAAACAATATAACTTATAAATATGAAAAGATCTAATCTCCCCTTAACTTCTCTAAAGTTCCTAAGTCTTTTCCTTAAAGCCAGGCCGGTGGCTCATGCCTGTAATCCTAGCTACTCAGGAGGCAGAGATCAAGAGGATTACGGTTCAAAGTCAGCCCCAGGATATAGTTTGCGAGACCCTATCTCAAAAGAAGCCCATCACAAAAAAGGGCTGGTGGAGTGGCTCAAGGTGTAGGCCCTGAGTTCAAGCCCCAGTACAGCAAATAAATAGACAGATAGGTAGATATATAAATAAAAGTTCTTAAAATCTTTAATGCTCCAGCCTTGGGATACTGGGCCAGTATTTCATCCCAAAACGTGAAGTTAAACATTTCATTTCATAAAAAAAACTAATATTCTGAACCAGAGAAACTACATTCTGAAAAACATGAAAAGTAGTCAGTAAATGAGGGAACCATGAAATGAGATAGATATTATTAAATTAAAATTGTTCCAAATATAGGTTGTATTTTTTATAAAAAGAAGAAGCTGTGTTTGTTTAATTTATCAAATAACACAAGACTTTAAAAGTTATGGAAAAAACGTTGGAGATGTGGCTTAACTGATAGACCCTCACAAACATTAAGCCCTGAGTTCAACCCCAGTACTACCAAAAAGTAGTAAGAATAAATAAATAATTAAAGGTTATGGAAAAAAAAAAAAGCTGGTCTTTGAAAATGAAAAACTGAAAGTTCTAGCCAGATTGCTCAAGGAAAAAAAAGGAGAGAAGGAACAAGGTGGGGATATCACTAGAGGCAAATTACCACGGCTATGCAACTTAGGGAAGCTAAGTGAATGATAAGTAACAAACTCTACTATCTACACAATTCTTCTGTAAGTATATAATTACTTAAAATCAACTGTTTAAAAATTCCACAAGTAAAATTCCAGGTTTAGATGGGTTCAATAATGAATTTTACCAAACATTTAATGAAGAAATAATATCAAGTCTATACAAATTCTTTTGGAAAATGGAAGATGGAACATTTTCCAACTCATTATATGGGGCCAGCATTAATCTGATGAAAACCAAAGACTTAACTATCAATGTAACAATACCACCCATGAACATAATTTTCACAAAATCTCAGCAAATTGATTATTGCAACAATGGTTTTAAAATAATACATGATGACTAAGTAGGTTTTATCCCAGCAATGCAAGGTTGGTTTAAAATTCCATAATCAGTCAAAATAATTCACTTCATTATTAGACCAAGAAAAAAAGAGATGCTAAACCATGTGAGCATTTCAATAGATATAGAAGAAACTAGCACAATACAACAGCAATTAATGATAAAAAGTTCTCAGCAAACAAAAAGTAGAAAGGAACTTCCTCTATCTAATAAAAGATATCTTAAAAAATAAAACAAAACCTTGCAATGGAAATCAAACTTAGGAATGTTTTACTTTGAGGGAGACCAGGAACAAAGGAAGGACATTCTCTCTCACCACTTCTATTCAATATTGTATTAGAGTTCTAGCCAAAGCAAACAGGCAAAAGAATGAAAGAAAAGGCATGTGTATACACACACACACACACACACACACACACACACACACACACATACAGAGAGAGAGAGAGAGAGAGAGAGAGAGAGAGGGAAAGAGAGGGAGAGAGGCATATTATATATAGATATATAATAGGAGGAAGTAAAATTGTCTTTATTTGCAAATAATATAATTGACTATGTTGAAAATTTAATAAAATTATAAAAATACTACTAAAAATTAGTGAATTTAGCAAGTTTGCAAGATACAAGGTTAACTGTACTTATATTAGCAATAGATAAGAAATTAAAAAATGAATGCCATTTTCAGCAATGTCATAAAGTATGAAATACTTAAGGATAAATGTGACCAGATATGCAAAATCTGAACATGAAAACAACAAAATATTGCTGAGGGACCTTAAAGACCTTAAAAAACACAAAGATATACTAGGTTTATGGGTCAGAAAGCCCACTGTCATTAAGATATTAATTTTCCTCAAATTGGTCTATAGACTCAGTGAAATCTCAACAAAAATTCCAGCAGGATTTTCTATAGAAGCAGAAAGCTGATTCTGAAATTCGTATTAAATCTGAAATTTTTATTAAATCTTAATCTCCAAATAGTCAAAAGAACCATGAAAAGGAAGTACAAAGTTGGAGGGCATATACTATACTGCTTTGCAACTTATTAAAAAGATAGAGCAGTCAAGAAAGCACAGTATTGATGTAAAACGGACATACAGATGAGTGGAGAGTCCAGAAGTACAGTCACACAAATATGGTCAATTAATTTCTTACTGTGGCAAATCTAAAACAAAATCTGTCAATTTAAGTGTAAAGTCTTGTGGCATTAAATACATTCTCATCACTTTGCAACAATCACCATCTAGCTCTAGAAATTTCTTATCTTTCCAAACTGAAACTTTATACTTATTAAGCATGAACTCTCTATTCTCACCTCCTCATAACCCTGGCAACCACCACTCCATGCTGTGTTTCTATAAACTTGACCACTCCAGGTACCTCATCTAAGAATCATGCAATACTTTCCCCTTTCACTTAGTATAATGTCCTCAAGGTTCATTCATGTTGTAGTATGTACCAGAATTTCCTTTCTCTTTAAGGTTGAATAATAATAATAATAATAATAATAAATATATATATTCCATGTTTTCTTTATTCATTTTATTAATGGACTCGGGTTATTTTTATCTTTTGGCTACTGCTGATACTGCTATTATAAACATGAACATCAAGTAATTTTTAAAAATTACTGTAAGAATTTTATTTAGTTTGTCTCCATTTCCACACACAGACAGAATTATAGAAGGCAGAATCTGCATTTTAAACAGGCATGCCAGTTTGGCTGTCAGGCCCTTTGGAAGACATACATAATTGGCCCACAGTTAGTGTTTTCTCACAAGGGTATTGGACTTACATTCAGGCAATCACTTATTTACCTAAGCATCTGGCCTTTTGACAGGAGTCAGTTCCTTACTCTAAGGCTTCTCACTACAAGCAATTAGCTTTGTGATTCTATGGAAAACTTGTCACCTATAGAAAATTATCTTCCCATATCATCTGACATTTCTGCCAAAAATGATAACTATTTCCTGTTCTTGAATTTGCTTTCTATCCTATAAGCTTTTTGTCCATTGCTTCTTGGGTTTTAATTTTAATTATTTTTTTTTAAGATAAGGTCTTATTATGTTGTCCAGGCTGGACTTGAATGCTTGGGCTCAAGTGATCTTTCTATCTCAGCCTCCTGAGTAGCTGGAACTATAAACACTGACCACCACACCGTTTCAATTAATTTTTATAAAATGTTTTTATCTTAAAAAAAACAACAACAACAAAAACAGGAATTCAGAGGAGCAGTGGTTGGAAATCAATGGGGCAATGGTGAACTTGTGTCTACCTGGTGCTTGTAGATGGTTATCCTGGCACCAGCAGGGGCCAAGTTATGGGTTTGTGACCAGCAAGTGCTGAGCAGAGGGATAATCTGAGGTTTCTTTCACCAGTATCAAAGAATTGACTTTGGCCCTTGACTGGGTCCTTGGGTAGGTAAGAAGGGGTTTCTCAGTCTTGGCCTGAGAAGGATGCCTTTCCCCTGGATGTTTCCCTTGCAAATTAATCAAGATAAATAACCAGGCACCATCCACACTCCTGGAGCTGGAAGGGCAGAGCCTGCTGAGGAATGAGACCTTAGCTGTCCTTGTTTTTGGAGTACCTGTCCTTAAAGCTCTTCCAGTTAAGAAGGCCTTTAGCTAGAGCTACTCCAAAGGCAATGGTACAGCATGGCACTTTGCCTTCCTCCCTCTGGGGCCCTGATGAAGACGCTACACCTGGAGACATTACAAGTCACCGTGGATGGACTTCATATGCTGCTTGCCTAGAAGTTTTGCCCTATGCTGCTTGCCTAGAAGTTTTGCCCTGGTTGGTGCAAACTGCAAGTGCTAGATTTGTGGAAGGGCTTGTGCCACCTCACTACAGGCTGGCTCTAAGAATTAAACAGTGGAGGACCACCCAGAGATTGGGTGAAGAACCTCTTTCAGTGAATTCAGCAGAGAAAAGGCTGCTACAACTGTACTATAAGAAGCTTCAGATTTGGGCACTGCCCATCCACAGTACCAGGAAGGTACTGGAAATATTGGAGTAGATTATATCCAGGTAGACATGAATAGTTGATGGTACCTATCCATCCTGGCAATGTTTTATTCTTACCTAGACTGGTGAAAAATCTAACTCTTCTCTCCTGAATCACTGCATTGAACTATATTTCCCCAAACAAGAGTGAGCTGCTCATTGCTAAATTCACTTCTAGGTTCTGCAAACTGGACTACCTTCAGCAGCTCTGTATACATGGTGCCTATTTCCTCAAGGTCAAGTGCTCAGGTGTCTGAAAACCCAACAGCCAGCTTTCAAAATCAGACATGATGTGTTCCAGTGTATCAGCTAAAACACCTGAATCTGAGTTGTGTCAGATTTAGCTTCTATTTCAGTCTGAGCTTCTCTGAGTTCTGCTAGAGAAGGTTGTAGCCAATTTTATGATCCTTGGACTTGCAGGACTATGAGATCAGGGACTCCTAATTCAATGCCATCTTGTCTACCCTATGCTGCTGATCTCAGCTTACCATGTTCAGCTTCTACTAGAATGACATCTCCATGTCTGTCCTGAAAGACCTGCTGTGTCATACAGCAAGGTTGACACAGAAAGCTATGCTGCCCAGTGCTCCCAACACAGGGAGACTTACCCAACTTTGTAGTAAGTTCATGGATATAATGAGGACCATAGGCATCTGAAGATCATCTTGTTTGGTACTGACCTAAGCTCTGAATGTAGCAATCAGTCTGTTTATAACCTGGAAACCAGTCTATGTCCATGTTGGGTAACTACCTAGTTGAGTGTAAGTATCAGTAAGTTTTCTTGAGCCTAGTGAGGTGGCATATGCCTGTAATCTTGGTACTTTTGAGAACTCGAGGACAGCTGAGGCAAAGTTAGTGAGACTCTATTTCAAAAACAACAATAAAACAACCCAAACAAACCAAACAAACAAAAGGCTGGAGGCTGGGCGCCAGTAGCTCAGGCCTGTAATCCTAGCCATTAAGAGGCTGAGATTGAGAGGACTGAGGTTTGAGGCCAACCTGGGCAAAGAGTTCAAGAGACCCCCATCTCCAAAACAACCAGAGGAAAATGGACTGGTCGTATAGCGCAAGTGGTAGAGTGCTTGCTTAGGAGGCATAAGACTCTGGGTTCAGTTCCAAGTACTGCCAAAAAAAAAAAAAAAAAATCAAAATTTTAATTTTGAAATGATGCTGTTATAAAAATAAAAGAACTTGTATCCTGACTATGTTAAAAGTTCTTACAACTTTGTAAGATAAATTTATAAGCAGACAAGGGCTGAGCATGTAGCTCAGGGGTAGAGCACTTATCTTTCATGCATGTGGCCCTGGGTTTCATCCTTTGTACAAAAATAAAACAAAAGAAGTAAAACAAAAACCAAAAACAATAATGAAAAAAACCAGACGTCATCAAAGAAGGTCTAAGGATGGAAAACAAGCATACTAAAAGATGTTCAACATCATCTGTCACTAGGGAAGTGCAAATTAAATTCACGAGATACTACTGTACACCATTAAAATGGCTAAATGAAATATACTGAGTATATGTAGTGTTGGTGAGAATTTGGAGCAAGTAAAACTCTCATCAATGCTAAGAGAATATAAAATGATACAACCATTTTGGAAAATAGTTGTAAATGTACACAGCCTGTCACTCCTAGGTATTTACCCAAGAGAAAAAAAACATACGTCCACACAAAAACCTGTACACAAATATTTATAGCACCTTTATTTGTAATAGTGAAAACTAGACAACTCACATATCCATAACAAGTGAATGGACAAAAAAACCCTGCAACACATTCATACTACTATATCATATGAATACGTACCATTCATGTATGAATACTACTCAGAAAAAACCCCACTACTGTTGTATGGATGAATCTCATAATTATTATACTGAGCAAATGAAGCCAATAAAAAAAGGAGAGTAATAATGCATGATTTCACTTATATAAAGTTCCAGAAAATACAAACTATAGTGACAGAAAGTGAGTCGGTGGTTACCTATGGACTGGGAGGGCAGTAAATTACCAAAGATATGAGGAAACTTTGGGGTGATGCAGTGTTCATTACTTGATGACCTGACTTGGCTGATGATTTCACAGGTTTACAATACATATATCAAATCTCAAATTGTTCACTTTAAATATATGCATTTTACTCTATGTCATTTATATCATGAAAAATTTATTTTAAAAACTTACAGAAAAAAGTCCTCTTCTTCATCTGAATCATCTTCCAAAAGATTTCTCTATCAAAAAAAGAGAAAGACTTGAGTTTTTAGATTCACAGAGTTTGTAAGATGTTAGGGACTAATAAAGAAGCAACTTTCATGGAACTTCCTCTCGCAAGATCCTTAATCTCATCAGCTAAGTCCCTTTTACCATGCCAGTTAACACTTTAACAGGTTTTGGGGATTGGGACATGGATGTCTTTGGGGAGCCATTATTCTGCCTACAAGTGGCATACTGTTTGAGTTGTCTGTAAAGGTCTGGGTTTTGCTCTTCGGCCTCCTTTTGGGACTTCATGTCTTCCTTTTTGGGGAGAGGGTGAAACTATTTTCTTTTTAAGGAAGACACTTCTATCTTATAAGGTAAACATATAAAGTTGTTCTTGTTTGGAAGTTCAAATTTTTTTTATATTTATATTTGTTTTAAGTTTGTGGTTTTATTTTTTTTACAACAGCAACAGATAATTAATACACTTCTCATGTACTCAAGAAATTATATCAGCAAAAAGAAATTTAAATTAGGACAGAGATCTTAAGACAGAGAAGGATACAATCAAAGAATCTACAGAAAATATAGCCAAATTTAAATGTGTGATGATAATGTGATTGTAAACTTTAAGTTAAAGCTACTGAAAAAGAAAAGGCATAACATAAGGGAAAGCTTAAAAGGAGTCTAAAACATTTCTAACAAAGCTCAGAAGCTGGGAGTGGGAGTGTGAAGTGAGGAAGTAAAAGCATGTTAATGTGTGCATCTTGGTGATAAGTGGAGGGGAATGAAAGTAAATGATGGAAGGTGTACAGTTTTTGGCTTATTGGCAGAGAACACAAATTTAGAGTATAAAGTGAAAATACAAAGTCAGTAACAAGACAGAGAGGGAGCTGGGAGGAACGGGAGTAAAATCTCTACTGCCTAATGGTTTTAGAGGCAAGGACAGAGATGAGGGAAAAAAAAATCTAGCAAAAGATGTAAGAGAAAAGAAGGAAAATGTAAGAAATAGGTGTAATATATAAGATACACAATCTCATTATTTCTATGCAAAATTATATATAACACAACAAAGAGTATGAAAATGAACAGATGTATTAAATATTCAGTTAGCAAGTATTTTTGAGAATTTTGTACATGCTAGACACTGTCCCAAATAACAAGCACTAGCTTTGAACAAGACAGACAAGGTCTGAGCTCTCTTAGAAAAAAATGTGATCCTGGTAAAAATTCTATGTAGAGAATTAAAATAGCAATAGGACAGAAACTGATAGGGCAACTATACAATATTGGGTTGCCATGGAAAATTATTCTGAAGAGATGAAATTCAAGTTGAGACAAATGATAACAAAGAGCTAGGCAAAGATCAAGGTGAAGGGCATTCATTGTCAGCAGAGAGACTGGCTGACACAGAAAAAGTCCAAATGTGTTAGTTAGTATAGCAAATGTCAATGGTTTGAGTGTTCCTACTTAAAACAAAAGCTATACAAGAGTTCAAAAAAGTCCAGCCAATATTTGTTTATAAGATATTCACCTAAAACAAATGTTGAATAAAGAACTAAAAGGGGTGGAAGACATATATTAGCAAATGACTACAAAAAGAATATTAGAGTTAGCAATCTAAAGAAGTATTTTAGGACAGGAGTATTAATCAAGTAAGATTTTACAATGGTAAAACACATAATTCACCAAGATTTAATGACAAAAAAGATTTAATAGCAACAAATGTTTATATGCTAATAATATAGCTTCAAAACATATGAAATAAAAAGTGCTCAAATTGTAAGAAAAATGGTTTATTATCTAGCTTATTTGGCTTAAAAGATACTAAAGATAAAGTGTGTTTATTATAATTGTACACTGAGAAACACACATGAAAACCAATGCCTTTCATATATTCATTGAACAAACATGAGTATCAGGGATGCAATATCAAAAGAGTGTAATAGTACACAATGAGACATGATTTCCCATCCAGTATGCAGATAAAAATAAGTGTTGGTGGGAATATGGAGAAAATGGAACTCTCACATAGTGCTAGTGGCAATGTAAAAAACTGTGCAACCACTTGGGAAATCAACAGTTTAGCAGTTTTTCAGAAGACTGAACAGAGTTTTTCAAAAGATTGAACATAGACTTACTATAGTACTCAGCAATTCCACTTCTAGGTTTGTACTCAAGAGAAATGAAAACATATGTTCAAATAAAAACATATACGCTAACATTCACAGCAGTGATAATAGACAAAATGTGGGGGGGAACCCAAATGTCCAATTGATATATAGTAAATGTGGCACACCCACATAATGCAATATTATTCAGCAATAAAAAGGAATAAATATAAAATACTGACAACACTACAATATTGATAAATCTGTTTTTTTTTTTTTTTGGCAGTACTGAGGTTTGAACTCTGGGCTTTGCACTTGCAAAACAGGTGATCTACTGCTTTGAGCCACACCTCTAGACCCACAAATCCTGAAAACATACTGAGTCAAAGAAGTCAGTCAAGCAGGGTGCCAGTGGCTCATGCCTGCAATTCTAGCTACTTGGGAGGCTGAGACTGGGAGGACTGTGGTTTAAGACCAGCCTGGGCAAATAATTTATGAGACCCCATCTCCAAAATAAAAAGACCAAAATGGACCGGAAGTGTGTTTCAAGAGGGAGAGCACCTGCTTTGCAAGCTACATTTCATTTACATAAAATGTAGGATTTCATTTACATAAAATGTCTAGACTAAATAAAGCCATAAGTTTTTGTTTGCCTGGGGTTGAGGGGATGAAGAGAATGGGGACGACTGCTAGGGAGTACAAAGTTTCTACTAGGGATGATGCAATGTCCAAAAATTGACTGTGGTAATAGCTGCAGAAGCCTATGAATACAGTAAGACCCACTGCAGTGTACACATTTAATTTAAATAGGTAAATTGTATGTTGTGTGAAAAATTATATCTCAATATAGCTGTTAAAATTATAATAGAAAAGAGGAACCAAACTCTAAAAGGTTTCTTAATTTACTGATGATTAGAACTAACTAGTTATCAAACCTCATAACCTGATAAACATTCAAAAAAAGGGCTTTCTTTTTTTTCTTCCTTTCTCCCTCTCTCTCTCCCCCCCCCTCCCCCCCTTTCTGGGGATTGAACTCAGGGCCTCATATATGCTAGAAAAGTACTTGATCACTGAGTCATAGCTCAGCCCAAGGCTGTATTTAAAAAAGTCAATTCTGCTCAGCTCTGGTGTCCATTTTAGTTCTACAATAAATTATGGTATTAATCAACCCACAATGTAAAGAGAAAATAAAATAGTTACAGTCTCCATAGAACTATATATTTTATCTTTTTACATACATACATAAGGTTTATTTTAAAAGGCTAGCCAGCAAAAGCTTTTTTGAAAAAAGGTTTTAAGTTTGGTGGATTCTACTTATCAAATAAAAAAAAAACTGCAGGAAAAGTTAGAGTAAAGGAAAAGATAAAATATTTTCTATTGTACTAAAAGATACTTCTAAATCATAAAATATTGGCTAGGGAGAATAGTGTCAGGTTCCAAGGCTGTGTAAACAAGGAGCATATAAACAAAATCAAGCAGACTAAAAGCTCTCTAAGCGCAACATATCCTCCAGGTTTTAGCACAGTGCCTAGAACATAGTAGGTGGCCAGTAAATATTTATTTAATGAATAAGTAAATGAAAGAATGACAGAAAGGAAATGAGGGTGGGCTTCAGGCTGCTGGATAAACAACATATTCCTTCCTCCCTCCCTTCCTTGTTTGCAGTGTAAAGAATCAAACCAGAACCTGTACAAGCTATGCAAAGAAAAAGCATTCTACCAGTGAGCTACACCCTCAGCACCTAATTTCTAGATTAACATGTATTTCTACACAATACTCTGAACTACACTAGAAACTGAAGCCTTATGTAAAAGATATTCTGGACTCTGAGATAATTAATAGGTCGAAAATCCATTATCTGCAATTCCAAAATCTAAAGGTCTGTAAGCCAAAAGTTTTTTTTTTTTTTAAACAAAAGATTTTAAGTTTGGTAAAAAACTCACTTGAAAGAAAACCTGACCTGAATTGATTTATTTACACATTTTATTAACAAACTTAGTTAAGATAATCATATATTTCACTAAGAATTATTAGTATGTATGGAGGTACTGGCCCAGACACCAAAAAGATAATTACATAACATATATTTAACTATCTTTCTTAAATCTGACAAATTCTGAATTTCAAATATATTTGACTTCAGAGTTCTGAGTAAGATAATATGTATTCATACAAATTTTTCTTTGGAAGACTAGAAAGAATGATAGTGACAATCGAAAAAGAATTCACGTAACAGAGGTCCTCACATATGTTAGGCAAGCACTCTGGCACTGAGCTACCCACCTAACCGAAACATGCTTACTATGACGAAAACAAGTAAAATTAGAATATTGTGTTGGGGGTTCAGAAAATGATACCTCCAAGTAAAGGCCTCAGAATTTCTATCTGACCTCCTCCTATCTTACTCCTTATTCTCCCTCAAGGAAAGTAATAGGAATCAGAATTCTTCCCAAGGCAGGACAAAAAAACAGAACCCCTTTCCCCAAAGTCAGCCATAAACCCTAAAAGTATTACCCTAATCTTTCCCTATTTTTCTTCCTAAGAACTGGCCATAAAGAACTGACCTACCTTGTTTGATTGTAAATCCTAAGACCCCCCATTTCTGAAAATGTCCTACTTTAAATCCAGAAGGAATGCTGTATAAAGAAGCCAAGAAAAACTGAACAGGTCTTGATGAGTTTCTCTCCCTGCCCTTTTGTATATTATTGTTAGATCGTACCCTTTTTGTCTAATCATATTCCCACATGGCTAGTCATGCTTCATTGAACCTAAGCATAAAAATGGATAGTTTACTTTTGCTCTATGGGTCTAAAATCTGAAGGCTTCCATGTCATAAAACTATGATCAAACAATCTATTATACTTTTCTCTTGTTAACCTGTCTGATGCTATAGTGTTAGCCATGACTCTTTAGGATGAGCAGAAAAGGGGTTACTCTTTTCTGCCTTTTCAATACCATAAACTTCAGTTTTTTCCATTACTTATAAAGGGAACAAAAACATATTTTGAATCTTTTTTTTAAAACTTAAGATTCTGAACTTACCCTTTCACTTTTCACAGAACCAGTGACATCATCATCATTTAGGTGGCGCTTGAACTTGGGAGGCATATTTTTTACTCAAAATATTCTTCTGTTTCTAGCAGAGTAAGTATTCACCACCTTAAAGAGAAAATAGGTTTGATCAGATTTGAAGTTTTGGGGCAGAAGTTGAAAAACTTAAATCAGTGTACAGGCCCAGAATGATGAGGCCTCCCTTACTTTTCTGGTCTCAACTACCCCTTCTCACCTGCTCCACTGCAATGACTGGGACCTTCATGCTGGGCCTCAACATACAAGAAATGCTAAGACCATGGTAAAAATGAATGTACTTTCCTAAGAAAATATGTGAAGGAAATGGGTGGGTTAGAGATTTTATAAAATGGAAGAACAGATAGTATGAACAGGGGGAAAATAGGAGGTAGGCACCTTAAAATGTTAAATGCTTTATGATTTTAACTTAGGAGTTAAAGGATAGTAGTACACTTCTAGTTCTCTCACTTTTAATTAATTGCTTAAGCAATGATTCAATTTCTTCACCTGTAAAATAGTTATTTCTATGCTTTTGCCTATGTAGAGTTGAGAGGTCACACAAAATACATGGAAAAACATTCACAAACTATAATGCTCTACTCGTGTGCCATGAAAAGGACTGTTTGGTAAGTATTAGTGCAATTTACAATAATAACAATTATACAGTTGTATGTTTATTTACTCATAAAGTATTTAAGATCTCTCTCTCTCACACACATAAGTCTTCCTCCTGCTTCCTGACATATAGTTCTTAAAACCCTCAGAATCTCTAGCAGTAGTGTGGATTTTTGTATGCCTCAGAATAGGAGCTAGAAACAGGAAAGACCAAGGCAAAATTAAAACACTGGGATGTTTCAGCCCCAACATCTGGGGAGCTGAAGGGTTGACGCTTCAGTTGATTCCCAATAGCCAATGATGTATCCCATCATGCCTACATATAAAGCTTCCATAAAAATCCTCAAGAGGACTCCAGAGTGTTTCCGGGTAACTGAACACGCGGAGATTCTTGGACAGTGGCATGCTGGTGGAGCCAAGAAGCTCCCAGCTCTTTCTCCCATTCCCTATGCATCTATTATATCTTGACTATTCACCTGTTTCCTTTGTAATATCCTTTATAATAAACCATAAACTTAAACTTACATAAAGTATCTCCCTTAGTTCTGTGAGCCACTCTAGCAAATAAACTGAACCCAAGAAAGGGACTGTGACCACAAATTTTTTTGTTTTTGTTTTTGTTGGGATGAGGTTTGAACTCAGGGCTTCATGTTTGCAAAGTAAGTGCTCTACCACTTGAACCAAACACCAGCCCCACCACAGAAATTTATAGAAGCACAGGCTGGGGCTTGTGACTGGCATCTGAAGTGTGTATGGAATAGTAATCTTGTGGAACTTAGCCTGTGGGATCTGAGACTAGCTCTAGGTACATAGTGTTACCTAGTGTTATAAGTGTATTAGATACCTAGCTGGTGCTGCTGAGGAATCTGCTGAAGAAGTGCTTGCTTTCTGGAAGGGAGAAATCCCCACATATTTTGGGGTCACAGAGTGTTGTGTTATGAGAGAGAGAGTGAAAAAACCTGAAATTTTCAAATACTGAAACTGGGTTTTAAAAAAAAAAGCCACTTTTCTTTGCTATCCCACAACCTTTTGTATACTGATATGCACTGTGATTTTCCAGGAAACTGCTTGAGTATGCAACATAATCAAAATTTCCTCAAGAAATAGCTGCCCTATGCAAATACAATTTTTCAGTATTTTGGAGCTGGCTAAATATCTAGGAATTCAAAATAGTTAAGATGTACTGAATGTTTACTATATGCTGAGCACATATATATGCATTTTTTCAGCAACATAGAAGCACTTTCAGTACTCAGTATTATACATACACTTATTTTTCTTTTTTTGGATACTCCTTTCAGGAAAGCACTAAGAAACTAAGAGAGAGCTAAGACCTAGTAAAGGTCTTGATGAACTAATAGCGTTCATCACCTCACTCATTGAAACAGCAGATACATCTAAATCAGTGATTATTAGTTTTAATATTTATTCAATTAGTTGTCATCAGGTTACACAATTCTGTCAAGATAGACTCCCTGTAACAACCCAGCAGCCCTCTAGCTTCTTCCACAAGAAGAAATACCTGTAAGATCGCTAAATTAGGTATGGTTAGACATTGTTGGCTAATGTTATACAATTTTAAAAAAAAGAATAAACAAAACCAGAGTATAGTTTCATAAACAAAATCAAAGTAATATCAGTAAAGTAAGCTTCCTGCCAAAACCAATTAACACACTTTTCTTTCATAAGAAATGTTTCCAAACCAGAAACTACTTAACATGTGTAACAAACCATTCTTGCTAGCTAAGTAACAACTCTAGTTTCTCATTCCACAATATTACATGTGTACATCTCTGGCCCGTTTTATTCCTCATACTTCGATTTCAGAATAACTCACTCATTCTGACATGCTACAGGATGCACGGGAAAACAGACGACAAACCAAATAACTAAAGAAATTGAGCTTTTAACATCTGTGTTTATTTGTATTTAAAATTCTACATAAGGACTGCCTCAACATCCCCAAGCAAACGACAGAATTGTATAATGCCTTTAAAAGACACGCAATAAAGCTAAACCTTAAGGAGGAGCGCCATATTCAAGTTCCATAATCCAAGGATAAGCCTCGGGGAAAGCAATAAACCCAATTCCGACAAACAGAAAAGCCACCAGCAAAGCAGCAGGCAGATTAATTAATTAAGTACGCTTGATGAACCACAGGGCAAGATATTTATACCAAACTAGTAGAAATAAATCACGTTCAGAAAGTAGACTTGACTGTATTCTCCCTAAGATTTCTTCCTCAAAAAAAATCCTGTCAGTTCAGATATATATGCAAGTAAGAGAGCCATCATGATGTATTTCCACACCGAGGGCAGGACAACAGGACACAATTCACTTAAGCCACAACACCCACCGTATGCTTCATCATACGCTTAAAATTTCACGTATGCATTTTTTTGTAGTACGTCCTAGTCAGAGATTTCACCACGTAATACACCGTTAACCTGTTGTTTCACAAACGTTGGCTGCCTTTTTTGCCTAAAAAACAAAACAACACAACAACCCTATGTATTTCATTTCCCAAAAAAGCTCGCATCGGGATAGATGCTTTCCTTTCGCACGAGCAGTCTTGGTAGGTGACAGTTTCGCAGAAATGAAGTGACGTGAATGGACAGACTGTAAATCTCATTTGCAAAACCTGTCCAGCGTAATGATTCACCCCCACCTTCCGGTCATTAAGAACACAGAGGGATTGGCGCTCTTTCCCCTGAGCCCTTAAAGAACCAATCCCATCCTCCAAAGCAGGCAGCTCCGGCCACCCCACCCTATCTGTCGCACCACGCCACGTACCCCAACACCTCCCAACTTCTGTCTCTTCCTGCTCCAAGGCACCACTCACATCCCAGGCTGCCTCCCTCCCACTCTTAGCACATCGGATGGGAAGCACCCCTCAATTCCAATTCTCCTCCCCATCAACCGCCCAGCCTCTCGCGCCGCCCCACCCCCCAGCCGTACAACCCGGTCCTGGTCCTCCTTCCTCACTCAGGGCTCCCTTGCCCACCCCTCAGGTCGGCGCCCAGCCCCACCGGATGTTGGGAGGCGGCGGGGCAGGGGCGTAGTCTCCGTTTCCTTCCCCCTCGCACTAGCCCCTTCCGCGGGGGCCAGGCCGGCGTCACTACCTGAGGCTCCCGAGATGCTCCGGGCAGCTGTCCCGGCAGGCTGCGCTGGGCAGGCGGGGAAGGAGGAGTCGCTGTGGAAGAGGGGCCTGCAGGGTAGACCGTGGGCGCGGACCGGCGTCGGCCCTGCGCCTTAGCTGCGCCCCCGCGCATCGAGCCGATCGGCGCTCTGAGACCCGGCGCCAGGCGAAGGGGGCGGGCCCAGGGCGCGGATGGTCGATGACGTTGACCAAGCTTCCGGTTGCGTATCCGGAAGTTCGTGTGGCCGGATGCTCCGCTCGGACTGACTAACGCTCGGACGTTCAGGCCGGGCTGGAGCTGGTGTCCGTGGATGGGACACTGTGGGTTGGGAGCTCTGAGAGGTCTCGCTGGGCGAGGCGCTGAGACTGGTGGCGCCATGTGTAGTAGAGTCTCTTCCTCCGCTGAGGAGAGAAGGGAGAGAGGAATGGGTGGAACGACTTGCTTCGGGTGGTCGAGGATTTTTTCTGAAGAAATAACCTGTTTGATGCTGTTTAAAGAATCAGGGTTAAACGTGGAAAGATGTCAAGGGTTACAAGTCCAGGCTCCTCATTCACCCATTAGGAGATCTCTGGTCCAGAGAGATTTATTTTGTTTACACAGCTCATTTGGCCAGATTTAGAACGACTTTCTTTCTCCTGTGGTCTTTAGTTGGAGCCTAAAATAAGCGGGTCCAGACACCGGACCCTTAAGATTTCGGTGGGAAATCATCCTTGCAGGGCCACACCCTTCACTTCCTTCTACTCTCCGTTTTGTTTATATTTATTTAACCCTCCAAACTGGAAGTAGCTGGGGATACTAATCAGAAATCTTCCAGGTTTGTTGTGGTTTCTCAGCTTGTTTTATTCATTCCTCCCACACATGTTGAAATGGATTTAACACATTAAAAATACTTTGTTTACTCCTTGCCTTTTAAACATAATAGTCATGGATCGTTTGTTCATACAGTATTTTAGCCTTTCCAGAAATACTGTGCCAGGTACTGTATAAAGACCTAAGAATAGGAAAGGGTGTTTAAGAACAAGAGAACAGGAGGAGAAAAGCTTTGGGAGAAAGGAAAAGGAAAGAACAGAATAGCTACTATTTTCGTTGGCAGTTCTTTTGACTTAAAAACATCCGGGTTGAAAGATGCGTTGTCTAAGGCAATGATACTCAACTCTAGGTGAATCGCCTACTGTTGCATCAACAGGAAAACTTTTAAAATTACTGATGCCTAGGCACTACTCAGGTTCTGATTTATGTTCTTGGTTTTTTTAGCAGTACTGGGGATTGAACACAGGGCCTCATGCTTGCTGGACAGCCATTCTACCACTTCAGCCACTCCATTAGCCCTCAAATTCTGATTTAATAGTTGAAAGGAAAAGGAAGAAGCGAGAGAGATGAGAAAGAATCTGTGACCTCTACAAGCAGCAGGTCATTATTAGGGAGAGGAGACCTGAGAGGGACCCTCCTCCATCAGAGTAACCCTGCGAGGGGCAAAGGCAGCCTCTCTTACGGGCTGGGGTTTTAAAGCATCCTGTGGTGGGAAGAGGGAGGTTGGAGGGGGATGGGCACTAGAAAAAAATCACTGCAAAGGGGGAGTGGGGGAGGGTGCTGGATGTTGTCAGGAAGGTCATTGGGGCTGGGCAGCCAGCCATAGTGTTGTTTTTCTCTGGCTCTTTTATCAGAGGTAACTGTGTTTACATTGTTCCAGTGTTTCTCAATAATCCAGCATCTGATTTAATTGGTCTGGAACGTTAAGAAACAGTAAACCACGCAGTTGTCAGTTGAAGCTTCTGAAAACCTGGTGTTAGATCACTCACTAGCTGTGAGTCTACTACTCTAGAACTAGCTACTTGAACTGAAATGGTTCACCTAGAATGAAAGCTTCTTAGTCTTGTGTATGATGGTGAGATTATCCCAGACTCCATAGATGACCCAGAAATTAAATATCTGTATATTTGCTTATGATGGGGAGCTTCCTTGTTTTATTGTGTTAGTCAATTAGAACTTTAACCAATTCCAGCCTTCACCTTTACACATTGACAGTTAAGGCAATAGGATTATTGAGATGTATAGGTTTGTCACTGTATAGTTTTTATGAATAATCTATTACTTTTTAGTTTATTTTTAGGCATAATTCTTTAATTATGCCAGTTATTTTTGTATAATTGCTTAGAAGTTGGGTAATGTAAACCCCAGGTTTTAATTGCCTGAATGAAGTCCCTTTGACTATCTTCATCATTTGTGAAAACTTAGAAAATGGAATTTTACAGTTAGTATGCATCAAATATACCAGTAATCCTGAAAGATTATAAATAGTACTGAGCTAGGAGTCAGAATGCCAACCAATTTTTGTAATAGCAGAACTAAAAATACTTAACTTTCCAGAAACAGGAAATTTCTGAAAATAGGTTATGGTATATCTCATTGGCAGAATAGTATATAGCCATTAAAATGAACTAGATAGATGGACATGTACCAACATGGAATATCTCTGTGATATGTTGCTATAAGGTGAGAAAAGAAAGGTGCAGAACAGTATGTAGATTCTGCTACCATTTGAGCATCACACTCACATACCAGGAAGACTGGAAGTCTGGCATGGGAAGTGTTATGAACTGTGTTGTATTCCCTCAGAATTCATATGCTGAAGCCCTTGCCCTCAGTGTGACTATATTGGAAGACAGGACTTTTATGGCAGGAATTAAATAAAACAATTAGGGTAAAACTGTAGGCCCCAAAGTGACCACGCGCAGAGGAGTGATCTGGCCAGGAGATTCTTTATTGCCGGGTGGGAGAGGGAGGAGAGTGAGAGAGAGAGAGGCAGGTGCTTAAATACCCCTCAGTGAGACTCAGCATGATCTGATTGGTTAGGATCTTATGGTTCATGCTGATTGGAGGTTGGGGCAGAAGAGAATTCAAGCTAGACTTGAGGCAGGACCGTGACCCTGGGAAACAGAAGCTTAAGGGTGCAGTAAGAACTGAAACCCATTGGTGCCATTATTGCCAACATTCCTCCCTTTTTTGTTTGTTAAGGAAGGGGGGTGTTGTGTTCGCTCTGGCTTCTTCGAGCTGGCAAGGGCAGCATAGGGGAAGAGTGGGTTAGTTGGCAAATAATGTTGGGGTGCTGAGCCTCATGATGGCACACCCAGGCTCCAAAAATGAAGATTTCCTCTTCCCTGGAGTTGATGAAGGTCCCTTGCAGCCATAGGTCGTAAAGAGTCTCGAGCCAATCCTCTGAGCTCCGTATGGCAGGTATTAGCCATCCATCTTCACGTAGGGAGTCAAGGAATTGAAGCAGGCATTCTTTGAGGGGTCCATGATGCTTATAACCCGTGTCCCGGTGGGATCCATCATAGGTGTCCTCTGGTTGAGCTATGAGGGGTTGGTATCCTTGGAGGAGAAGCTGGTTGAAAGTTTGATTAGAGATTTTGTTTACCTGGGATTTGAGAAATTGTAGTAAACAGGGTAGGAGGGTGCATAGAGTAATGAGCATGAGCAAAGGGCCCAAAAAAGGCAGAAGCCAGGTGACGAGGGGAGAGTTTAGCAGGTCGGTTAAGTTGTTTTTAGTGAGTCTCTTTAGGAGGTCCTCGGCCAAGTCTGTTAATTTTTTAACATTCTGTTCTACAATCCCAGACTCATTGACATAGTAGCAACATTCCTCCTGGAGAAAGAAGCAGGTGCCCCCTTTTTTAGCCATTAAGAGGTCTAGGGCCCTGCAATTTTGTAGGGCCACCTGGGCTAGAGAAGTGAGCTGAGGTTGAAGGGAAGCCAGTGAGGCCGAGGTGGACTCGAGGGTGATCTGTAAGTGATCTTCAAAGTCTTTTGCTGAAATAAAACTATGGCCAAGGGCTCCCCCCGCGAAGCCTGCGGCAACAACGGAGATAGCCAGACTTATACCAACCGTAATGGGCAAGAAGACGGCACGCTTTGGTCAAGCGCCAAATAGGAGGGAGAATGCAGCTTCCCCGTAGAGAGTGAGTTGGGGGACTATAATTACCAGCATGCAGGGCCCGGGAGTAGCCTGATTTATGTGAGAGTGTAGGGTGTTGTGGCACCAGAAATATAGCCCCAGGGGGGATGCCAGTTGTTCTGTAATCGTGAGATTCGTATGACAGGAGAGAGAAAAGTTGGACCGAGGCACTGAGGACTGGACATAGCAGGTGTGTGTGGGAGGAGGACCTTGTACAAGGTCAGGTTCCCACAAAGGTACAGAGGGCAAGGGAGGAGCACATGAGAAGGTCCACAAGGCAGCGGAAGCTTTGATAGAAGACAAAACATTAATGGGAACTGCGGCCAGTAAAGGACGTTGGAGGGAGGCACAAAGAAAGCAGTCAGTGACATTAATGGGCACGGTCAAGTTTAGGAGTTGTAGTGAGGCCTGGAATAGTTGGTGCCAGGTTGGAGGGGTGGAGGGCTGGTGAAGGGATTTGTGTAAGTTTTATTCGGATTGTAGAACATTAGTAGCAACCTCCTTTTGAGCGGTAATTGGAAGGGTTAGTTCCCTGGATATCATAATGTGAGCCGAGGGTTTTGAGGAGTCACCCTGAGCATAAATGGCTGCCTGTTCACCCTGAATGCACCTGTTGTCCCATGGGTCAGGGATGTGGAGCATGGTAGTCCCATTTTTTCCCAGATAAAAGTGAAACTGGTTGTCTGGTCCCTTTGATCCTAGTACTCAGTAGACCTGACAAGACCAATAAGGACATCCCCCTTACTCCTGGGTCACCTTACTTCATTGGGTGAAGAAAGGGCAAGCAAATGCAAAGGAGCCACTCCTTAGGGTAGAACCAAACCTGGGTTTGAAGGG